AGTGAGATGTTGTTCCACCTTAACCCTCTTCAGTGTAGTCTCAGAGGAGGCCAAGTGTCACCGTGGCTTTGACACCACCCAGCCAACACTAACAAGAAGCCACTCTTTTGGACAGAGTCCCTGAGGGCCAATCAAGAATCATGACTTTCTGGGCTGGAGAGATGGCTCATGGTTAAGAGCCTCTTCCAAAGGACCCAGGTTTGATTCCCAGCACCCACGTGGTGGCTTAGAACCATCTGTAACTCTAGTTCCAGTGAATCTTATGTCTGAATCTTTAGTCACAAGGCACGCAAGTGGTACAAGACATTCATTATACAAAATACTCATACACATAAAATAAAAATAAATGAAAAGAATTATGACTCTGAAGTGTTAAAAAAAAAACAAAAACACCCTATTCTTGGATCCATTCAAACTGCCACTCTGGGCTCTGGAAGATGGGCGAAACCCCTCAAGTGGAAACTGTGATGAAATCCTGGGATCTGAATGTGGACTTAGGATGGATGAGAAACTTACAGGGTATGCAGTCTTAGAAGGAGTGCCACATTTTCATGGGTTTAATTTCTAGAACCCTGACAGGCTCTAATGGTAAAGAGCCAAGAAAAAAATCCTCATGGACGATGAGGCAGGTGGATAAAGTCATTTATAATATGAGAAAAGTAGTAATATAGGCCTCCTCTCCAAAATAAAAAGTTTTACCAAAGTCCCATTCCACATAGAAGAAAGGCATTCCTCTAACCTTATCACACTCTAGCCTTCCTGAGAAGCAGGGAAGAAAAAGTTAAGAAGCTCTCATGAAGGTTACAAGCACACCCAAATACTGAGACTTAATCATAAGGTTAGAGAATACCCCCTCCCCATTCTCTTAGCACCATCGCAACAGATCTGCTGTATCTGAGCAGCAGATCACCAAGAAGTTCTTAGGAAACTCAAAGACACAGACATACAGGACTACAAGAATATGAAGCCCATGGTACTTGGAGCTACAAAAAAATACTACACACAACTCAACACTCAGCCAGGTTAACATCCAGTCTTGCACTAAAAGGCTTGCTTATCTCAGTCCCTATTACTTGAGTTATTGTGTCTAGCTTCAACAGACTGTTTCAAGGCGTACCAAGAGGCAAGGAAAAAATATTGGGTGAAAAGACTATTACAATAATTCTAAAGAAAAGTCAGGTCTGTTGGCAGATGTCTGTAGTCCCATCACTCAGGAGGTTGGGGAAGGAAAATCACAAGTTCAAAGCTAGCTTGAACAGCATAGCAACACTCTTGTCTCAAGGGGTGGGAGGATGGTAATATATAACCTTCAAAATCAGATAGCACTCATTTTTATAAATGTTCAATATAACTTTTTATTATTGTTATTTGCAATATAAGATGGAGCCCAGTGTCTTAAGAATACTAAGCAACTGTTCCATCTTTGAGCTATAGCCCTAGACCTGGAGAGAGAATTTGAAATAAACATGATTAATAGTTAAGACTCCGATGCAAAAAGTAGACATTTAAGAATAGATGAATAAGCAGAGAATTAGAAACTCTAAGAAAGAATCAAAAGGAAATGCCAGAAATCAGAAACATTGTAACACAAATGAGAAATGTGTTTGATGCTAGACTAGACATACCAAGAACTCATTCTTGACCTTGAAGATAGATCATTTCCCAGGCTGATGAGATGGCTCAATGCCGGGGGTGGGATGGGAAGTTTGCTAAGCTAGGCAACCTGAGTTCAATCCTTGGAACCCATAGGATAGAAAGAGACAACTGATTCTCCACACAATGTCCTGGCATGTATACACACACATGCTCACACTTGAACACTCAAACGCAGAAAATAAATTTGATTAAAATAATAAAGGCTTGGGGCCTAGAGAGATGGCTCAGAGGTTAAAAGCACTGACTGCTCTTCCAGAGGTCCTGAGTTCAATTCCCAGCAACCACATGGTGGCTCACAACCATCTGTAATGAGCTCTGCATACATGCAAGCAGAACCCTGTATACATAATAAATAAATAAATCTCTTTTAAAAAGCCTCTAAAGTTAAAATGTAAAAACAATGAGCAGAAAGCAGGTGTATTCTAACTCTAATCTGCTTCTGTGCCACCTGTGGGTGATTTAAAATTAACAAGTGCCACATAAAATGTGCAGACTCATAACAAAAGCAGTTTCGTGTTCTATAACAAAATTCTGTTGTCATTGCAGAAAAATGCCTTGTGGGGCTGGAGAGATGGCTTTTTAGTTAAGAGTACTGGCTGTTCTCCAGAGGACCCAGGTTCGGTTTCTAGCAGGTGTCTCCCAACTGTCTCTAACTCTGGTTCTTGGGGATCCGATGCCCACAGGTGGCCTCCATGGGCACTGAATACACAAGTGGTGCACAGACACACCTGCAAGCAGAGCATCCATGCACAGACACACCTGCATGCAAAGCATCCACGGCACAAACACACCTGCAAGCAGAGCATCCATGGCACAGACACACCTGCAAGCAAAGCATCCATGCACAGACACACCTGCAAGCAAAGCATCCATGGCACAGACACACCTGCAAGCAGAGCATCCATGCACATGAAGAGAGTGAAGAAAAATGTCGGTGTCTGCTGTGGGCTCCATTAGACTAAAATGGAAAGAGGGAATACTTGTAAACATTTAGCTGTTTTCTATAGTGTCCTAATTTCCATTCTTTCATGATTGATTTGTTTGTTTGTTTTTGGTTTGTCCTTTGAGACAAGGTCTCATGTAGCCTAGACTGACCTTGAACTCAATATGTTCAAGGGCTGAAGATGACCCTGAACCCTCCCAAGATCATAGACACAGACCACCACACCAGCATTCCTTTATGGTTTTTTTTTGTTTACATTTTTATAGTAAACATTCGTATTCATTGAGTCTGAACTTTATTATCGTGTGTGTGCAGGGGAGTGCTGGTGTTATTGGCAGTAGAGGCTTAGTAACACCTGGAGCTGGAGTGACCGGTGGTTGTGAGCTGCTGATGTCGAGTTCTGGAAACCCAACTCCTATCCTTTGCAAGAGCCGTCAGTACACACTCCTAACTGCTGAGCCCAGCTGTTTCCACTCTACCTTACATTTCTGAGGCAATCTCTCTTTGAGCCTGGAGCTTGCTGACTTGGCTAGACTGGCTGGCAGCAAGCTTCAGGGATCCTCCTGTCTCTGTTAGATGCCCCACGATGTTTCTTTGTTACTTTTTTTTTTAAAGGTTTATTGATTTCTTATGTATACAGTGTTTTGCCTGCATGTGTCCCTGCAGGCCAGAAGAGGGCACCAGATCTAATTGCAAGTGGTTGTGAGCCACCATGTGGGTGCTGGGAATTGAACTCAGGACCTCTGGAAGAGCAGTGAGTGCTCTTAACCACTGGGCCATCTCTCCAGCCCTTGTTTACATTTTTATTTATTTATTTTAGTATATGTGTGTGCATTCATGGGAATAGGTTCTGT